CTGATCTGCTGACTCCCTACCAACCTGCCCACTCCCTCCATTCTGCTCCATGTCTCCCGCCCGACCCGCCCTACCATCGGTGGCCGGGCTTTCAGCCTCTCTGCCCCCGCACTCTGGAACTCCATCACTCAGTCCCTTCTCTCGCTTCTTCTCTTGCCTCCTTCAAGGCCGGTCTCATGACCCTCCTCTTCCATCGTGCCTTCGGTCGCCCTCCCACCTCTCTGCCTTCCCTCACTCCTACTCCACCCCTCCCCACGCTCGGGTCCTGACCCCTGACTGTCCAGCGCCTTGGGACGTCCTCCCGACGCGAAAGGCGCTCTATAAATGTAATTTTCTTGTTGTTGTTGTGAAGTGAACGACCGACCGATTGAAGCACACAGTTACCAAATGTCCTGAGAGTCACACCCGAAAGTGGGGCTGATCTGCCAGTGGGAACCAAATGCCTTTGTGGTATGAATGCTGCCAGTCCCACGATATCTTTAATCTGTGCCGAGTGAGCAAAGCTCCGGAGTGCTCTATGTATCGGGCTGACTGATCAGTTATACGCTGTTGATAGCTCCCGACTGTCAACAGGCTTTAAGAGTTGAGGTCTAACATGAGTTGTGTCAGATCCTTACACAGAGTTGCATCGAATGTACAGAGCGGAAACAGACACGGAGATTATACTTATATTTATATCTTTATACCACAAAATACGCTTTGCAATATATTCTGCGAAGCGCTTTGAGATGTTCAACAACGTGATAAGGCGCTATATCAAATGCGAGGATTATTATTATTATTATATTATTGCTCGTACACGATTCTAATCTACTTCATCCCAGCAGGAAATGTTCAGTTTGTTTCATTTTATAGCCAGGCAACATTTCCTGTTTAAAGAGCTGTGGCTGAAGAGAACTGTGAAACCACCTCTGAAGGGACAGACGCCAACTCCCGGCCACTACCAGTACACAGACGTTTAAACAGTCTCACTGTGTGCAGACACACAGTCTGACTCTCACTGTATACGGACACACAGTCTGACTCTCACTCTGAACAGACACACAGTCTGACTCTCACTGTATACGGACACACAGTCTGACTCTCACTGTATACGGACACACAGTCTGACTCTCACTGTATACGGACACACAGTCTGACTCTCACTGTATACAGACACACAGTCTGACTCTCACTGTATACGGACACACACTCTGACTCTCACTCTGTACAGACACACAATCTGACTCTCACTGTATACAGACACACAGTCTGACTCTCACTGTATACAGACACACAGTCTGACTTAGTTTATACAGACTCGCAGACAAGCCTGACTCTCAGTATATACCCAGACACACATACAGATACCTTCTCCTCCTCCTCCTCACACCCAGACTCAGTACCAACAACAACAATTTGCATTTATATTTTGCGCGCTTCATGTAGGATAGCATCTCCAACCGGGGCGGGTGTGGGGGTGGGGGGGGGGGGCAGTCTTGCTCTGCGTCATGAAGCTCATGTTAGGTGAAAAGCACAGTCACCAGCTGGGCTCCCGGTGACCACCGTTGCCTTTGGGCAGGTGTAGGGTTAGTCAGGAGGCAGCCTGATAGCTACAGCTCTAGTTTCCCCCACAAAATACACAGTCAATTCACTTCACTGTATATCCTGCAAAGTGCTTTGTGACGTCTCAACAATGTGATAAGGCCCCATATCAAATGCAGGGATTATTATATTACAGACCTGGAGCCCGGGAACACGGCCGGAAAGCCAAACCTGCTTCCTGCTCCCAACCCCAACACGTGAAGGACCTTGATTGCCTGACCTCCAGCGCAAATATAACCGATCATCGCAGCCTCCTGCAGTTAAGGTTCGAGAGCAAAATTTAAGAGCTTCCCTCCCTTCCATTGCACGCACGCACACACGCACACGCACTCGCACGCGCAAGTATTAGCTGAGATTTCTACCTTTTCCTGGCGAGCGAGCAGCACTTCTAACCCAGGAGGTGAAGGAGACATGGTCTGCATCTTTCCTGCTCAGCACTATGTGTTATGCAAAACCTTGCTTTGCACGTGTTCACACCAGCATCAGGTTGTTGGTTTGGGGCCACAGGGACAAACCTGATGCGTCCTTCAAGCCAGAACTGTTGCCGAACCAATCCAGACATGCCTTTCCCTCTGTAAATATGCATCCTGGCCCATCACCTTATATGCTTTACAGCAACACACTGGCTTCAGAAAGAGCAATTCTGTCCCTTTGCTTGCCTGGAGGGACTAATGTAACAACAGATAGCGCTGCCTGATAAGGCTTTTTCTGCCTTGCACACCTTGGAAGGGAAGAGGGTGGGTGGTGAGGGGGTGGGGAGGTGACCCTAGGCACGGTCAAAGAGGAAGGTCTTCATGCGCGACGTGAAGATAATAATAATAATAATCCTTGCATTTGATAAGATGAGGAAGAAGGGGCCAAAGCGGAATTGGGAGGGGGAATTGAAAAAAGAGCCTGCAAAGCAGTTCTTTTGAAAGCAAACAAGAAATAAATGCGTGTTGTTTAATCAGCAGGACTTTAATTGGATGAGCGCCCAGGCTTTTTTGGAGGGATGAATTCTTCCCCTCTGGAAGCCTGCAGTGATCGGTGAGAGGCCTCTTTAAGGCAAATAAAGCGAGCATCAGCACAACCGAACCAGGCTGCCTTTTGTCCTCCAGCGTACTGGTTACCGAAACCCCTTATCATTACTTGGGAAGATATTTTTAGCAACTGCTTTGCATCCCCCAGGACAAAGGTGCACTGTGAACAGCAATGACTCCTACAATGTGCGGGTTGGCTGCTATCCAGCTCCTCGCTGTGTCTGCCGCCTGATATGACTTTATAACATAATAATAATAATCCTTGCATTTGATACAGCGCCTCATCACGTCGTTGAGACGTCTCAAAGCGCTTCACGGGATATACGGGAAAGGGAATTGTCTGTATAATTTGTGGGCGAAACGCGGCAGCCGATTGCGCACAGCAGCGTCCCAGTCGTGGACTGAGTGACCAGTTTTTGTCGGGGAGAGATTATTACCCCGGGAAAGCGATCCGCCAATCGACTAACAATCAGGGTCCTACTTACTGCTAGGTAATCAGAGGCGTGGGAAGTAGGGAAACTCGCCTAAGGTTTCGCCCTGCCCGGGAATCGTACCTGCGGCCTGTCACTTGCGAAGCGAAGGCCCTCACCACTGTACTACAGGACTCCACAAACTGTTCGGCAGTTCGCTGGGATCTGCTAATTAACACACACATCGAATTACGACAACAGTGTTAATAATAATCCTTGCATCTGATACCCCACCCTTCGAGACTCTGAAGCACGGGGATGGGTATCAGAGGCTCAGTAAACCTAATTTGAAAAAAAGCTTTGAGATGTTTATTTTTACGGGGCAAGTTATCATTGTGATCAGCACCAATGATGTTAACTATTACCTCTCACGTGACATTTTTGATCGCGTGGGTGAAAGCTGCAACAGTTATCAGTAATGAGTCCTGTAGCTCAGTGGTTAGAGCACTCGCTTTGCAAGCGAGAGACCTGGGTTTCGATTCCCAGCAGGGCGAAACCTTAGGCGAGTTTCCTTACTCCACACGCCTAATAATAATCCCTCAGAAAAAATAATAAATTGGTCATTTCAATCCACGACTGTTTGTGGGACGCTGCTGTGCGCAGTTGACTGCCGCGTTTCGCCCACAAATATACGGTCAATTCACTTTACAGTCCGTTCTGCGAAGCGCTTTGAGACGTCGAGAAGACGTGATAAGGCGCTGTATCAAATGCCAGGATTATTATCATTTATTATTCTTAATCTGTTACAGGGAAACAAAACACAAAATACTGCAGATGCTGGAAATCCGAAACAAAAACAAGAGATCGCTGGGAACACTCAGTGAGGTCAGGCAGCATCGATGGAGAGAGGAAAGTGAGTCAACTTTTCGGGTCCACGACCCTTTTGTCAGAACCCGGCAGCGCACCCGAAACATCGACTCACATTCCTTTCTCCGCAGACGCCGCCTGACTTGCTGAGCGTTCACATCTGTTACAGTGAACCTGGATTTCTCACTGCGCTTCCTGTTACTGTACTGCCACATGCCGAGATCATTCCAAGCCCATATGTATTTGCATAGAAGAGGTCACGCTGAAGGAATTCTAAACACTGCAGACGGCAATTTAATAAAACATCTGGAGCCTGGAGCTGTACTCGCCCAACTGCTTCCACTGAAATCCCAGCTCACGGTGTAACGGCACAGCAAATACACTGTGTCAGCCTGGCGCGGTGGTAGTGCTCTCGCCTCCGAGTCAGAAGGTTGCGGGTCCAAGCCCCGCATCGGGACTTGGAATCACATCGTATAAGATGACACTCCAATGCGGGGGTGGGTGGTGGGGGGGGGGTGTGCAGCATTGAGGTGCCGTCCATCGGATGGGACGTTAAACCGAGACCCCCCCCCCATCTGCCTGTTCAGGTGGATTTTTAAAGATCCTATGGCATTGTTTCAAAAAGGGAAAGGAGTTTCTCTCTCCCGGTGTCTTGGTTGCCAATTCCCCAAATAAAATTGGTCACTCGTTTCGTGGCTGGTTGTGTGACATTGCTGAGCGCAAGTTGGCTGCTGCGTTTCGCCCACAGAATACACAGTGACGCCGCTTTACAGTATATTCTGTGAAGCGCTTTGAGACGTCTCGATGATGTGATAGGGTGAGAGGGGGGAGGGGGGAGAGGGGGAGGGGAAAAAAGGCCAAAAGCGTGGTCAGATAGCGTTTTGAGATGCGCCTTGATTGAGTAGAGGGAGGGAGTAAGTTACCAGGAAATCTATTCAAAGGGACCCGACGTGCTTACAACAATCTGCTAAAAAGCAAGAATTCTTACTTCTGTTATTAATAATTATATAAGATTTATCTGTATAAGGTTCCTCAGTCAGCACGTCGCTGGGGGAGCACGGATTAAACCACAGACTTTCTGCTGTTGAATACACAAGAAATGGCTTGTTTAGAAACTCACCAACAGACTCTCCTCCGGGTGTGAAATCTCCGCAGCGCAGCTTAGAGGTTGGGTTTCCATCTGGTCTCCAACTGAGCACCCCCCCCACCCCCCCACAACCCCCCCCCCCACCCCCACCCCCACCCCCACACACAAACACAGCTGCTCCTCCCTCAACGAAACAGGGAAGATGTGATGTGAGTTATACTGCAGTTCACTCAGAATATCAGTGCTTGTCCCTGAGAGCAACTGGGTTCCTGATGTACAGACGCAGAGAGTTTCAGCATTGGACTCACGTACTTTAGGCACGAAATGGGAGTGAAGCAATGGAATGAAAATTGCAGCTCGTCTTCCTGGGCTCAGTCGCTTGATTTGAAAAGCGGGGCTTTTCCATTCCACAGGCGTTCCATTCTATAATATATTCGGTGAAGTGCTTTGAGGCGTCTCGTCGAAGTGATAAGGCGTTGTATCAAATGCAAGGATTATTACGTTTTAATTGTTCGCTGTCATCATTCGCAATATTTTCTTAAATCCCTGCATTTGCTACACCGCACGGAATGGCGAAACGCCGTCACAACAGCTTGGTAGGGAGTAGCTGCCCAGTGTAGTGACTGTGTATTTGCAGACAAACGCAAAGGAAGCCAGTTTGCACGTGCACGCACAGCAAAGCCGTGCAGTCATGAAGGAATGCTGGTCAGGACACGAGGAGAAACCCCTTTCTCGTTTCGGATGGGGTTGTGCACCATCCAGCACTTCCAGGTCATTGCTGATAGATACAGAGTAAAGCTCCCTCCGCTTGGTTGCTACGTTTCCAGGCGAATACACAGTCACTACGCTTTGAGACAATTCAAACCAACAGGCTCTGTTTCCATTACAGCTGTATCCCAGGCAAGAATTATTATTGTTATTATTAGTGTTATTACTGTTGTTATTGTTAGTATTTTTACCGTTTCCGTCAGCATCATTTTTGTTACTACTATTGTAACCATTATCATTGAGATCCTTTTGTCATTGTTATTAGTGTTATTCTTATTTCCATTGTTTTGTTGTCATACATATTGTAATTATTGTCGTTATTCTAAACACCATTATTATGATTCAGACTAAACACTGACTGCCTGTGCATTTCATGCTCTGGGGCATTACCCGGCCTGAAGGCTGTTATATAAATGCAAGTTGTTGTTGTTATATTTGCTGTACCAAAAGCTGAGCGCCAGCAGGGACAGTGGAACCAATTAGCAGGTAGGAACACAGGACCCGGAGTAGGCCATTCAGCCCCTCCAGCCTGTTCTGCTATTCTCCGGATGATCTGTACCTCAACAACAACAACAACAACAACAAGATTTCATTTATAGAGCGCCTCTCACGTCGGGAGGACGTCCCGAGGCGCTGGACAGTCGGGTCAGGACCCGAGCAGTGGGGGGAAATGATCAGGCGAGGGAGGAAGGAGGCGAGGAGGGGGGAAATGATCAGGGCGAGGGGAGGGAAGGGAGGGAGCGAGGAGGGGGTAGAGAGTCGAGAGGGGAGCTGAAGGCGCGGTCGAAGAGAATGTCAAGTCCAATGTCGGTTCCGGTGATCGGATTGGAAAGCCATGAGGTACCCAGAGTGATGGGGCACATCTGTACTGCACTGCAATGTGGAGTTCAGGTAACTAACCTCTCCCAGTTATTGTGGAGACGGCAGGCACGGGGAGGGTGGAGGCGTGGGGGGTGGGTGGTGTTGGGGGGGGGATGAATATCTGCCGCTGGCTCCCGCAGAGCACTGTCAAGTCAACAACAACAACAACAACAACAACAACGAATGCCATTTGTGAAGCGCCTTTCACGTCGGGAGGACGTCCCAAGGCGCTGTCCTCGCCCACACTCACCTCGTGCACTTACCTTGAGCAGTGGAGGCACGGTTAATGGTGGCTCTCCGGCTGACGCACTGATGGGGTTGTGCGAGCCTCACGGAGGTAAATGCAAACGATGTCCCAGGTGATACGATTGGAGGCCATGGTTTAAGCAGCATTTAAGACGGGGTGTGTGTTCGCCCATCAGCCATGATTCATGGCTTTCCTTATATGGGCGTCCCAGGGCTCGCCAGAACAGAGCATCTTCTCCCTCTTCATCTTTGCTTTGCAGAATAACACTCGGCTAATACTCCCATAGCAACCACAAAGCCACAGAGGGCTACACTGAATGAACCAACGTAAATAGCCCTCAGTCATTGCCATGACAACATAACAAGTAGCCCAGGTGAGCTTGTCTGGTGCATTCAAGCAACGTGGCACATTGTAGTCCTGTCCCGGGATGTCACGCATAGTTAGATCTTTGCCGTCTGCCTGCACGCGGCCATCCGTTTCGCTAAGCCCGCAGTCACTACACTACACAGGAAACCCTGTGAAGCGGTTTGAGATGCTCTTACGGGATACGGCGCTGTGTCAAACGAAAGGATCATGACTATTCTCCCAGTGTCCTGGCCAACAACCCAACCCACCGCTACCCACTCCGCTCCAGCCCCAAATAAAATCACTCAACTTCGTGGATGTGTGTGAGGCACTGTTGTCCACACAAATTGGCTGTTTTGTTCACCCACAAAATACACAGTCACTACACTTCGCAGTAGAACTCCCGCGAAGTGCTTCGAGACACCCTTCGACCGCAAAATGCACCAGTCATTCCACTTGGTAACGTCATAAGGAGCTATGCCAATACAAAGATTATTATTATTATCATCTAAGACTTCAGCACCATATTTACATCCTTCAATCCAGTCCTAAAACGTGGAAGTCGGGTAGTTTTTTTGAGAACTTGCAGGGGTGATAAAAAAGACTCTCCCGTTCCCAAATCGAGACTAAATTTAAGACCTGGAGACCTTTCTGCTCCATCTTAAATTTGAACACAAATTGGCCTCGCGGAGTGAACTTCGGACCACAATTATTTACGTTAGCTATGCCTCTCCGCAGTATTACACCTGCATTTTGGTCCACTGCCACAAGTGCCTCCTCCTTTCCTCCCCGCCCAGGAATGCCCAAAGTCCTTGTGACGTGCTTGGAGTCGTTCACGCTATAGAGATCAACAAATACAACAACAAATTACACGTGTACCGTGCCTTTCACGTCAGGAGGACGTCCCAAGGCTCTGGACAGTCAGGGATCCACACCTGAGCTGGTGGTTGGGATCAGGAGGGGTGGAGGGCGGGGAGGGCAGGGGTAGGAGGGCGACGGCAGGGCTAGAAGGCACGGTCGAGGAGAAGGATCTTGACATTACACCGTTACTTTTTTTTATTTTCATTGGGGCACGGCTGATAACCCTAAAATAAAAAGGCATCTGGAGGAGGAGAGAGCAATTAAAAGCAGCCGGCCTTGATTTATTGATGAAAGGAAAGTCACGCTTGACCAACCTTATCAAATTCTTTGACGAGTTAACGGACTAAGCAGACAGGGGACCTGCAGAGGAACGTGAACTTGCAGGAAGCCTTTGAAAAAATTCCACGTAAGACTCGTGGTGGCTGAACGAGAGGTAGCAGCTTGGATTGAGAGATGCACCTCATAGCGATCATTGTTTCTAAGGCCAAGCCCAGACATGAGCCGATAGCCTCAGACGAGTAGAACAACACTACGCCTCCCCTGGCCTGAAGCAATAAGCCCTGCAGCATTCCACAAATGCACCAATCCTTTTCTAACTGATGTTGCTCTTCACCTAAGATGTGCCTCTCTGCTGGCCGAGGATTTAAGTATCGTAACATGGGATTTACTGTAAAGTATGGTGACTGTGAGTTTTGTAAGTGAAGGTGGCAGCTAATTTGCACGCAGCAATGCCCCACAAACAGCCGTGAAGTGAGCAAACCAGTTTCTATCAGGGGGATTGCTGGCCAAGATACTGAGAGAAAGCTCCTTTGCTTTAAATACATTGTGGGAATTTTTAGACCGGACCTCGGTTTAACGTCTCATCCAAAGGACAGCGCGTCCGACAATTCACCACTCTCCCCGACGCTGCACCGAAGGGTCAGCTTGGGCTGTGCGTTCCAAGTCCTGAACCAACAACCTTCTGAATCGAGAATGAGAGCGCTACTAACTGAGCCAGGCTGGCATCTAACCAAGCTCTGAGCTCTTGTATAGTGTATAGCTCATCTTAATTGCCATGGAGATGTGGAGTCTTTCTCAAGAAAACCTCATGTCCTGTCTGTCTGTCTGCTCTCTCTCTCTCTCTCGCTCTCGTTTTCCTCCGTAGCAACGCTGACACAGCTGCTTAGAAACTCACATCCCACAGGACCGAAACGAAATCAGGTCACAGGGACACATTGTGAGCTTCGCAGATGTAGCTGGCTCAATTCCAGCGCACGCTCTAGCATCTCCAATCCTGGGGTCTTGCCAACATATTGTCTCTCCACAGGGTATTTACACCTGCATTTTGGTCCACTGCCTCAAATTCCTCCTCCTTTCCTCCCCACCCAACATGTAGTCTCAACATGTAGTCTCAATGCCCTCTTGACATTCATGACAAAGGGAAATTTCTATATAGACCTCTCAGTGGTTTGGTTTGGAGACTCGATGGGTTTCCGCGTGTGTCAGACACATGTCCAACCAAACAAAAAGCTGCAAAAATGGATCTCAGCAAATCCGCACAACAACAACAACAACAACAACGGGTGGATCAAAGATGGTCTTTTCCAAACCAGGCCTTCGTGTGACAGGACAACCTTTCTGACAGACCTGGAATAAGCTCTGAGCAATGATCAGACATGCTAGGGCTCTTCACTCTTGAAAGGAGACATCTCAGAGGGGATCTTATGAAGGTGTATAACATTTTAAATGGGGTAAAAAACATAAACGCAGAACAATACTTTCAGATGCACCAAAATAGTAGAACAAGAGGACGTAGGTTTAGAGTCTTTCAGCCTCTCTGCTCCCATCCTTTGGAACTTCATTCCCTTCACGTCACTCCTTCCCTTGCCTCCTTCAAGGCCCACCTTCCACTTCGACTGCACCTTCGTACACCCTCCTACCCCTACCCTCCCTGCCCTCCACCTCCCCTGATTCCAACCCCCAGCTCGGGTCTAAATCCCTGATTGTCCAGTGCCTTGTAATGTACTCCCAACGTGAAAGGCGCTATACAAATGTAATTTGTTGTTGTTG